TGTCACATGTGGGCTCTGGGCCTGAATTCGAGTCCTGACAGTTAGTGATGGCTGCCCAGCCATGGATACAGCTCAGCCTCTGTCTCCTGTCCTTGGCAGTGAGATACCTACCATGAGGGCCGTAGTGAGAAAGGGAGTCTGCTTCAGGACAACACCTGCCATTGCTGAAGCTGGGGATCTGATCGGGTTTGTTTTTTCTCTCCCGTGGCCTGACCCCGTTCTATGAAGAAGTATGTAGATTTCTTCTGGAGAAAAAAAAAACACAATAAGCTAACTTTATATTCCTTTCCTTTATTGAAAAAATCTAAACAATCCTTTTCAAGTGGGCACCTCACATTTCTCATGGTAAACTGAGGCTCAGAGAAGCCCATCAGCTTGCTCCCATCCCATGTCCACTAGAAGTTGAGCCTCTGGAGGCTGCAATGCAGCAGTAGACCTGGGGTTTGCCCCTGAATATGCCTGAGAAGCACCTGCACTCCATGAGGGCAGCGTCTCTGGACCCGCCCAGAGGAAGTCAGGTGGAACAGGGCCTGGATGGGGGCTAGCACTTCAAGGTGCTGGAATTCTCCAGGTCTTCTGACACAAGTGGCCCGAGTCCATGCTGAGATCCTTGGCCCTAAACCCCACAGGTTCCTTTCCCTCTCATGACACAGAGCATCCTTCACAATGCTGTCTTTATCTGCCCTGTTTAAGCCTCTGACCCAGATGCATCCTAGGGACACTCTGCTCTGGCCACTAGACTGTGCTAGACTGTCCACTAGACAGTCACTGCCGTGGGCAGCCCATAGAGGAGGCCTGAGCACATGAACATCCTGCAGAGCGAGAGATGACCACTTGGAGGGCTGGAAACGATCCAGGTGTCCTGGGCCTTGCCCTCATCTTCTCTCCCTCCCCTGGGGCGGGGTGCATGAGGCCATGCTGAGCCTGTGTCCCCTGCTGCCCTGGAACTTCTCTGCTGAGTCTGACTTTCTCTGTGCTTTCAGCTCTGGGGCCCTAATCTCCCTTCCTCTCCTTTGGGTCTCCCAGTCTCTTCCCCCCGGAGCTCTCTCACTCTTTCTCCCAACATCCTGTCTGATCTCACCCCACTGAGCTCCCCAGCATCCCGCCTGCCAGAATGGAGCTGGGAGGCAGTGACTAATGAGCTTGGAGGTGAGTCATCCGCTAAATATAAAATCCCACTCACGTCCCTGGATGCAAAAGATTCCAAGCTCTGCATCCTTCCCCCAACTCCATCCTTCCTCAGGGGGCTGAGAATTTACTCGCGAACAGAAAATAGATAAATACCACGGAGCAGCGACAGCAGCAGCATCCTTGCCCTTCAGCTCTCCCCCTTGCGGGTCTCCCGAGGCAGCAAATTCCCCAGTCCCTCGTTTCTCCAGCTGTCCTGGGAGAAAGCAGCTAATGGAGGAAGACAGTGACCCCTAAGCCCTGCAGAGTAAGTAAGGAGGCGAGATTCATCTTCAGGATCTCCCCTTCTCCCCTTCTTGATCAGGTGACCCCCAAACTGCCCATTCTCCTGTGGAGGGAACCAACCCTTTAAACACGCTTATATAAGCAGGCACCAGGCAGCACTTGAACACGGATGGTGGAATGATGGGTTTCAGGTGTGTACCCTACTCGTGGACAGGTGTCTCTTTTAGTATCACTGATTCCTCCCACATAGCTGGCGTCTTTATGGGGGCCGACTGCTGGGGTCTTTTATTTCCCTTGGATTTTGGATCCTTTATATGCATGTGTAGATACATTCCCTACACCTACCCCTATGTTCACACCTACCTGGACATCCCATGTCTATGCCCACATGCACATCTACACCAGCCTGTGTGTATTTAATAGTTGGCATTTACAGTGTCACAATGTCATGGTGTCCTGAACTGGATTCACACCTTACATGGATTGTGTCTGTCCACTTCCTGCATCTTGTTAGATAGACTCTATCACTATCCTCAATTTATAGAAAGCCAAATTTCAGAAAGGTAAAATCAATTGTCCAAAAGTTTACTGAGAACCAGGACTATATACTTTACCTCCAGGCTAAACTAGTAGCCTTCAAATGTTTTGTGATGCAGATCCATTGACGCAGAGGGCACACACCTGTGTACATGTGAGTGAATATACATGTGTGTCCATGTGCCCACATGGGCATACATGTGAAACACATGCTTTGGGAAATAACACTTATCCTGCCTTCTAATTTCATCTACCTCATTCTATTCTATTCTATTCTATTCTACTCTGTCTTTTCCATTCTGTTTTCATTTTATTTTAAAGATTTTGGTGCCCATCAGTGGAAAACACGGGAAAAATCATACCTAAACTGTACTAATCACTCCATTGGACAGTACATGGAGAGCAGATTTCTATCCTAGGATTTGGAACTAACTTCCTCTGATGGCTTTAGGCAAGTGTCTTCACTTCTCTGGGCTTTGTCTTCCTAAAATCTGTTTATAATGGAGTTTTATTATGTGACCCTGGAGGCTGGGCTTATACCTTCCTGCAACAGTTATAAGTCCTTTGCTTCCATGAGTGATACTCTGAAGGTCTCTCTCTGGGGAAGACATAGGTCAATTGACTTCCCCCAGCCTCGTGCTTCATGAGTATATATCTGCACACACATGTGATGCAGGAGACAAACAGTGGCGGAGGGTCTGGAACGTCTTCACTCTTCCTTCCACAGCGCCCTCAATCATTTCATGCAGAACACAAAGGCAATACATTTTCCATCTTTTAGGGATTTGCTCTGATGTGGAATGGCACATTTTATCATATAAAATGTTAATTTGATTCCTCTCCCCATCTTTTTATTTGTCTGCTTCTTTATGTCCTTCCGTTCTCATGCTTTTTGGAAGGAAGAGGAAAGACCACTTCAGTGGAGGTCAGGAGGTAGAGGTGGCAGTAAAGGGAGACAGAAAAGGAAAGATGGGAATTGACAGGTCAGAAGAGTGTGTCTGGGGAGAGCAGGATTATGCTCCCGTCTCTTCTCCGCCTCTGAGTCCTGTGTGAACTTGAGCGTGGCCCCTGCCCTGTCTGGGTGTGCATGGGATATGAGGGAATTAAACAAGGCCTCCTCCCACCTGAACATTCTAGGGTGAGGAGGGTTATGCACCTGAGGCAGGGAGGAGAGAGAACAAGACGTTGGGTGAGCTCACACAATGGCCACTCTAAGAAATCCCTGAGGATGAGACTCACTTAAGTTTTCATGACTCAAGGAACCTGCCATTCTCTCCTTGGATACATTCAAAGTGTGCTTGTCAAGTGTTGATGAGTTTCAGACTTCCAAAGTAGCCTATCATAGTTGGGGTCATTTTGTGGACAACTTACATACCAGTGCTAAATGTCATAGAATCACTTGAGCAGGTCACCCATGGGCATTTCCTATTGCTATAGATGAGGCTCCTTAGGAGAAATGGTTTGCTTAGGTCTGGAGATTGGTTGGACCTCTTTCTCTCTGACTTTGGGGTGAAGAAGTGTAGAGCTTGTATGCTTCATCAAAACTCCATGCATCCCAGGTACACTCTGGGCCAGGCAAATAAGTTTCACCTCTAGAATTTGGTTGTATTGGTCAGCTTTTCATTGCCAGAATAAAATACCTGAGGAAGGATAATTTTATAAAGAAGAGAGGTTTACTAAGTCCACAGTTTTAGAGTTGAAAGTCCAAGCAGCACAAAGCAGACTCTGGTGAAGTCCCCTTGGCAGGCCATGGGAGCATATGTGGGGTGGGAGCAGGGGAGGATCACATCTCAAAACGAGCCAGACAGAGGTAGGATGGGGGTCATGCTCAGATTTTATAACAATCCTCTCACAAGTTCTAATCAGACAGTGAGTACATCCATAAGAAATTAATTAAAAACAAACTATGGGTAAATGGCAGAAAGATCAATATAGGGAAGGGAGCCAGGGGTGGAGAGAGGGAAGGAAAAGAAGAGGTACTGGGTTTGGAATTAGAACAAGATATATCCCATGCTTTTATAATCATGTCAAAGTGGATTCTATTGTCATGTATAATTAAAAAGAATCAATGGGGGAAAAACAAAGTAATCAGAATTCCATGGGAGATCCCTTAATCACTTTTGACCCTGGACCTCCCACCAGACCCCTCTCAATACTGTCACCTGGGGTCTGAGTTTTCAACACAGGAGCCCTTGGAGGAACAACATCCACCTCTCAGCCCTGGCTCTCCACAGCACAGCCCCAGGGCCGCCTGCTGAGGCAGCTGATGCCCAGCACCAGGGGCACCATCCACAGAGCCCCTGGGAAGATGCCCAGGTTCTGCTGTGAGCTCCCTTCCCCTGTCTGGAACCCCTCTCATGGTATCAGGCCTGGTGCTCTTGCCCTCCATGACCTCTGGGGTAGACAGAGTTCTGGTGGTAGTGGTCTGGAGCTTCGGGTCACAAAGTGTTTTAGTCAGTTTTTTTTTTCCTGCTGTGACTAAAAGATCCTGACCAGAACAATTGTAGAGGAGGAAAAGTTTACTTGGAGGCTCACCGTTATAGAGGTCTCAGTCCATAGACACCAGGTTCCATTCCATTCGGGGCTCCAGGCGAGGTTGACCACCAAGGCACAAGAGTAGGGCAGAGGAAGGCAGCTCCCATGATGACCAGGAAGCAGAGAGAGCAAGGTCTCCACTCTCCAGATACAAATATATACCAAAGCCACGCCCTCCAATTTCCACCTCCTCTAGACACCCCCGCCTGCCTCTAGTTCCCACTCGGTGAATCCCACCAGGGGATTAACACACTGACTGGGTTAAGGCTCTCACAACCCCGTAATTTCCCTCTGAACCCTCTCACACTGCCTCGCCTGGGAGCCTTTGGGGGACCCCTCACACCCAAGCCATAACACACAGGAAGCAGAGTACCTATCATCTGTG